ATTTTGATTTTATTCACAATTTTAATCATAATCACAAATTTACAAACAATACACAAATTTACTAACTAAAAGTGTTAAAATGTTTTTTTTTTTCAGATGGTGTTTTATGTTGAGGCCTGTGAATCTGGTTCAATGTTTCATAGACTTCTTCCAAATAACATAAAAGGTAAAGCTGGCATCTGTGAGAGCATTGTTTGACAGTCTTACAGTGGTCTTGACCTATTAATAACAAGAAATGTCTTTTTTTATTATTCAGTGTATGCTACCACAGCTGCAAACCCTCATGAAAGTTCATATGCTTGTTACTATGATAAGACTCTTGAAACATACCTTGGTGATCTATACAGTGTTAAGTGGTTGGAGAACTCGGATAAAGTGAGTATANGCATTTCACCCTGGTTGTTTTGAAATCCAGTGCCCTATATAGGTTCTTATTAAATGATAGTATAAGACATGTTATACAACTTTTCAGTAAAATCAGACGTTTTGATTGGTTGGCTTTCGTGTGTTATCAAAGTATAGATACACAGATTACGTCAAAACTAATTGTTTGTTGTATAAAACAGATAGATCTCATTTTTCCGTGCGTGTGTACTCTAATAGATACACAGATGACGTCAAAATGTAGTGAGAACAAAAAAGTACGCACGAGACGCAGTCGAGTGCGTGACTGTTGTTCTCACTACATTTTGACGTCATCTGTGTATCTATTAGAGTACACACGCACGGAAAAATGAGATCTATCTGTTTTATACAACAAACAATTAGTTTTGACGTAATCTGTGTATCTATACTTTGATAACACACGAAAGCCAACCAATCAAAACGTCTGATTTTACTGAAAAGTTGTATAACATGTCTTATACTATCATTTAATAAGAACCTATATAGGGCACTGGATTTCAAAACAACCAGGGTGAAATGCCGGATTTTTTTTGACATTGTCAAACTTAAAAATTGTCATTTGACTTGGTGTACATAGCTCAAGGCTCTCACTAACTCTAGCTGTTAAGTCTTTACGTATTGCTTGGTTAATTGATGTTACCCATATTTTTAGGCTGACCTTGATGTGGAAACATTACTCAAGCAATACAAAATTGTGAAGAGTGAAACAAACACGAGCCACGTCATGAAGTATGGAGATATGGTAAGATTATTCTCATCATTATGCAGTGCTGCAGATCTGTACGTATGTCAAAGTTATTGTAAAAAATTTGTCCCGTACTTAAGCTTGGAGCTCGAACATTACTTGGAGCTTTGAAATTTAGTCACCCAGAAATGACGTTTTCATTTGTAATGGCCTCTTTTTTGTTGTGGTACAAGCGTCCAGTGCTCAGACAACATAAAACAATAGAAACATCATCTCAAAAAACTTGAACAGCTACAAAGTTGCGCAACAATTTGATTGCTCTTGCTGGGGGCTTTTGCGTCTAGTATTTCTCATCCTTAACAAACAAATATAATATTTGACAATTATAAAGATTTTAAAATGTTTTGTAGAGTTTTGAAAATGAAGCTGTAGATGACTTTCAAGGCGATCCCAGTGCAGTCTCAAGGCCTATGATTAAAATTAACTCTGCAAATGTGCCAGAACCTGAGGTTAGTAATGGTTTTGAATGATTTGTTTATTAATATTTCGAAAGATAATAAATATGAAAGATATAGATGCAGCATAATGTAGTTGCACTTGCAATAGTGGCTTTAAGTTTTCTCTTTTCCTTTTCCTTTTATCTTTTCATTGAACGGTCAAATGAAAACTCAGTATCTGGCTGGCTGTTTGCGCAWGTCCCATCTCAGGGCTCAACTAAARAAGTTGTTCTGTTCTAACAAAGTTGTTGTTAAAGTARCTCATTTATTATCAATATCTGATTACAGTTTGACGCAGTCCCAGCACCAGATGTTCCCATTGCTATTTTGGAGCATCGTTTGAAAGCAGCAAAAGATCCCGAGGAAAAACAATTTATCGAGCAAAAATTAGAGAAAGAGATCAAGGTATATAACGCGCACATCAAGTTTAGACATGTGCCTCTTCACCCTTCAATTTCAAAGCAGACTCTCCCTTTGAAACATTTGTTTTAGATCACCAATTGTGCCGTATATGTAGAATAGAATGGACGGGATATTTTATGAACTTTAGTTTAGAGTGCAAACACTACGTCATCTAAGAAAAAAAATCCCTTTAATTACCAATTAAATGTACGTCCAAAATTACTAGCAAAATTTGGCATTATCTTATATCTTAATACAATCAATGAAAACCTGTAAGTCATGTTCACACGAATATGTTCTGTTTGTTCTGTTTTTCTAGATKAGGCGCAAAATACAAGATACGATGAAGGAGATTGCAGGTCTGGCCACAAATGATAAATTCCTTCTCGAGCGTGTGTTGCAGAAACCAGCTGTGCCTCGTAACTTTGRGTGCTACAAGAATGCCATTAAAGCTTTCAAAAAGTCCTGTTTTAACTTTAAAGAGGTACTCTTATGCTATGGTATATGTTTGATAACCTATTTGTTAGGCGTTTTACTGGGGTTCTACAGGTGAAGCGCACGTTTAAAAAGAATTGCGAACGTGTGATGTGTCAAAACGATGAAGATTAAAAGGGGAAATCAAAATAAAAGATTTAAGTACTCAGTTTTGTTTCTTCTACGTTGGTTTTAATAATGAATCCTACGTACGAAAACATTTTAACAAAATAAAAGATTTTTCAGAGTACGCGCAATTTGCGCAATTATATATTGGCATAGCCGATTACCATTGCAAGGACTGAAAAATCTTGTTCAATCCGAATTTCAGGCATTRAGTGCACCAATGAACTTCCTATAGAGGTCACAAACTACATTGTTTTCTTTTTTGACCATTAAACATTCGACATTTTGTTTTGTGGTGGAATGTCTTCATTCCATGATCTTTATCTTCTTCTATTCTTTTTCAGCACGAGTACGCTCTGCGTCAGGTCTATGTACTATCTAATCTATGTGAGATGAGCGTCTCGGAAGAAAGGTAGGATTCTATATCACCACGACCGCCATTACCACCACCAGCACAACAACAACAACAGCAACAACAACAACAAAACAATTACAACAACAACAAAAATGGCAAAAATCACAGCGACAACAACAAAAACACCAATACTACCAATTGAATAAGCAAAAACAACAGATCCCTGTCATGAAATGTAATGAACACAAAATGGTTTTAGCAAAGAATAAATCACCTAAGTGCGATACGAAGGTTGGATTTAACTTACCGGTACCCACCGAATAACGTTGTCCACTCTAGATTTTTTGTCTCATGTATCTAGTTTATCAAGATTTACGCTGTGGATAGCGTTATGCACGATTAACATTTGCCTGTCATTTGTGTTTTGTCTGTTCAATTTACTGAAATAAAATAAATCATATTTTTCTTTCGAAATTTGACAACATTCATCAATTTTTTTCAGAATTCTAAAAGCCATCAATGGAGTGTGTGCAAGCTTTAAGCCATGAATCACCTCGTAGTTTATAAAAATTTTATTACTATTCTTACCACAGCTATAGATCAAAGAGAGAAAACGTACTGATGTTTCTAAGGCTTGACCGCCAGAGGATTAGATAATTTATTTTTGTTTTGTTTTATTTTATGTTAACGAAAGATTATCGTCAGTAAGTTTTCTCTTTTTTTTCACCATTGCAATTTTTCTCACATGTTAGATTAAGAACATGACTGTCACAAATATACAGCCATAGAAAAGAGGACCTATTATAGGGGGGTAGCGGGTTATCATACCTCAATTCCGCACTAACAGTGGATTAAAACCGTGAACCGCGCTGCAAAGTGGACAAATCCGCAACCGGACAATGTCTCCACAACCGTAAACCGACCGGCGATTAAATGAGAGCAATACCGACCTCTAACATGTCTAAAAACATGGATATGAGAACCGCATGGCACTATGTCTATTATAGAACAGATATAGAAATGAAAGAAAGTTATAGTGCTTAGAAGGAGGCAATTCCGGGAGAAAGACCCTTATGTCATGTCTAAAAACAACATAAACCGTAAAACCGCCAACCTATAATAAGCCCTCGAAAAACGAGTAAATCACTTATGACACGGAACACACAATACACCATCATGACACGGAATACGGAATCTGAGTAACTTTTGGCTCTGGGTTCCGGAATACATACAATTGGAATTTGGAATGCAAACGGAATCCAGTAAAACGAGAGGAATACGGAATCCAAATTAGTGACTCCAAAGTTTTCCTCAATTGTAAACGAGTCACTGACGACAAAAAAAGATTAGAGGATATACTTTGCATTCTGAATTTAGTATGGTAGAATCAAGTCGAGGAATTTCTCATGGAATCTAGAATCCAGMAGATTGGAATCCGGAATCCAGGAACTCTCCGGATTCTGTGTCTTTGGTGATAC